GTGTGTGTGTGTGTGTGTGTCGTCTCTACTATATATATATATATATATATATATATATATATATATATATATATAAATATATATATATATATATAAATTCATGTGCTTCATGTATACGTATATACCAACATACCCGATATATATATGCCTATATATTAATATATTTGGTCCTTTGGAAGCTTTTTGAATATTAAACTAAATTTACGTGTACGGAATCGGTTTGCCCATGGTATTAACTTGATATTGAGACGTCAACACTAATTGATATTGAGACGTCAACACTAATTGATATTGAGACGTCAACACGAACCGATATTCCATCGTGAACGACACTTCGTTTTAAACATCCTAACTAGCAGTGTATTCGATGGCAACATACATCTTTGCTTCACCTCAATGCTCCAAAACAAATTATATTCACTCATTTATGCAGCACCACCTATAAACTCTAATCAACTATATCATGAGTGTATTCACCTGTAATTTCTCAGTAAGACATTGAATCTCTGTGGCGTCGGTGTAAGTCATAGACAGTTCCTCACACGGCTCCTTCTCGTCCGCAGGTATCTTCACATACTTGAAGGTTTTGCTCAGCTGAGCGCTAACGGCTGTACTCTGACTCATGGTGGATGGTTCCTGTGTTCTGTTCTGATTCATCTCTCTCTGCGTATATATATATCGCACCAGGGACCAGAGTCGACATTCGACACTCGCCACTCTGCTTCGAACATCGCATATATCAAAATTGTAATGTGCCAACTTTTGCTGACACTCTCAGAGGCTCAGAGGCACAGACTCTCCTATGTACGGACGCGATGTGGCCTCGCATTTTGGCGGTCGAATACAATTGGAATATATTCATAGCCTTTTTAAATTGAACAGTATATTTTAAAATCCATGTGATGATGGACGGATCAGCACGAGTGACGAGCGGTCGGAGCGGACTCAGAGGAGCCTATGAGAGCCTGAGACCCTGAGACTGAGAGTGGTCTCAGTCAGACTCTCAGACCTCAGTTGAGACTTGAGACTTGAGACTTGAGAGCCCAGGCCCCAGGGCAGAACACCCTCCTCCTCCACCCCAGAGTATAAAAGTTGAGATATGAAAGGCTTTTCGCACGTGATGATCAGCTGATATCATAATATTATATACATAAATTTATATATTAAATACAAACTATACAACACATATGTAGCTGGTAGCCCGGTATTATACTGTAGGAACTCTGGTATAAATCAGTAAAGGTGCCTATTTGAATATATATATTGCACGCGATATAATTGAAGGCACACCCAGAGCACTTAATTCTTATCAATTGCATTCACACTGAAGTTGTGATACTATTTTATTAAGCATGACGCGATTCGCTCGATATGGTCATAAGAAGGTTAGCAATGCTACGCCTTGGTCAGCTTTAAAGGGGGGTCAGCAGCCGGAAAAAAATATGACAAAGGCTGAGAGAGATAATATGAGGCGGAGAGAGCGTCGACAAAAGGGAAAGGTATGAATACATATAAATATATATATATATATATATATATATATATATATATATATATTATAATGCTGGGAAGCCTCCGTGTGTGTGTGTCTGCACAGAATAACATGGACGCATAGCAGCAACCATTTTCCGTCGATTTCAAACTCGTTTCGGATTTCTCGGTTTCTTTTGAAATGCTTGACGGACGTATACATCAATATTTGTGTGTGTGTACTACAATTTCAAACATCGATATGTATGCAATTTCACACTGCAGCTTACTACCAACAATACTGTTATACGCAAATATATGACCGTTATATATATATATCTCTCTCTCTCTCTTTCTCTCTCTCTCTCTCTCTCTCTATTTCTGTTTCTGTTTCTGTTGATGGTTCTGTTTATATATACTAATATATGTGTGTGTGTGTGTTTATGTATATATGTGCACATGTATACATTGCATAAATATATATATATATATGTATGTATATCTGTAAATGTGTTTTTGTTTGTTGGTTTGTGTTTGTGTGTGAGTGGGTTTATGTGTGTTCTTATACTTATGTGTATGTATATTTATATGTGTGTGTGTGTTTGTAAATGTGTTTGTAAATGTGTGTTTTTATATATATTGCAAGTGTATCTATATGTTTGTTTGTGTGTATGTATGTGTATATATGCAGATTTTCATTTATATATATAAATATATATATATATATGTATCTATATGTATGTATATATATATATATATTTATATATATATGTATACATATATATATATATACATATATATATATATATATGTGTGTGTGTGTGTGTGTTTGTATATAATTAATGCATGTGTATGTGTAGTTGTATTTGAATTTATGTGTCTTCATATATGGCTATATATATATGTTTGTGTGTGTGTTTGTGTGTGTATTAATGTATGTATGCATGTGTGTGTGTGTGTGTGTATATATGATTATATATATATATATATATTTGAGAGAGGGAGAGTATGTGAGTATATGTATATGTATATATATATATGTGAGTATGTATGTATATATATATATATATGTATGTGTATCTGTGAGTATGTGTATGTATGTATATGCGTATATATGTATATTTTTATTATTTTCATGTTTCTTCATGTAAGTATTGTGTATATGTATGTATGTATATATATATATACATATTGTATATTATGTATATTATTATGTACAGTCTTATATGTGTATATATGTATGTATTTGTGTGTGTGTGTGATGTGTTGATACTAATATTTATGTGACTAAATATACTTGTATCTACTGATTTGTGTACATATACGTGTGCTTGTATTTAGAAACCATGTTTATGTGTATGTATTCACTCTGTTTTCTCGTGAACGTTTACTAAGGTGTTCTCGCTGGGGTTTTTGTTCAATTTTTTTTCTGTCTTGTGTTTTCATTATTGATGTATGTATGGATAAGTGTGTATTTAACCATTTTCGTCATGGTAGGGTTTTAATGCTCTGCATATTTATCCAGCGATTATAGTTGGAATGTTGCCTGTGCTGTCATTGTCTCATTTGTGTGCGTGTCCGTGATATCGTGGTCTGTATCATATCCCTAAATCTGGCCTTCTTTGCCGTTTGCAGCCTTGCTACAATTGTCGCGGTATGGGACACGCCTCTGCAAAATGTCCGGAAAAGGTTGAAGGTGGTCAAGTTCTTTGTTACCGTTGTGGATCCAACGAACACAATATCCATGCCTGCAAAAAGAAGATGCAACAAGGAGGTGTGTATACTTTATTAAGGTGTGACATGAAATGAATTGGTGTGTTTCCGCATCTGAGTTCTCGATTAGGAGAGTTCTTGTAAGTATTTGTCCGCAACTCCAATTGTATGATAGTTTTGTTCTCAATATTCAAGTATATATTAATTATCCTTCCCCTTTTTTACTAAGTACTTTGTTTTCGGCGGATCAGACCTTCGACATTATCCGTTGGATCATTTTTGCTTTGTAACGCAAACTCGCATTTATTTTATTTTCGCGCGATTGCTCAGAGGCGGAGTTTCCGTTTGCTGTGTGCTACATTTGCAAACAGAAAGGCCATCTGACACGCGCCTGTCCGGACAATCCTAAAGGCCTCTACCCCAATGGTGGTGGTTGCAAAACATGCCAATCAGTCGAGCATCTCAGTCAAAATTGCCCAGAAAAGAACAAGATAAGAAGTAAGTAATACTTCCATGATCAGGACCTGTGTATCTTAAAGATATGTGGCAATTTCACAATCTCTTTATTTACGTCCGGGTAGAGTCTCATTAGTACTGGTACGGTTGGGTTGCGGGTACTAACCATTGCGAAAGAAATTTGTGTACTTTGTAAGGAATAATAACGTCTGATCCCTGTTTATCAGTCAGCTATACTAACCTCCTGATATGTCAATTTTCAGGTAGAAACAATATTCAAATCTCGACGATTGACGTCAATGCGGCTGGTGACGATGATGATACACACGAGGCCTTCATGGGGAAAAAGTCAAATGAAAATGCTTTTGATGATAGTGAAGCTGAAGAAGAGGCGGTACCTGCGCCCATCCTTACGAAAAAACCAAAGAAAAAAGTTAAGGTTGTCAAGATGTGAAGTCAATTGGCACGAGCAGAAAATAATTGAAGAATGGTTGAAAAGTCCATAGACACCACTAGCTAATTGTTTAATAATTTGTGTTAGCCGGGTTTTGTATGATAGGTTGAATGCCCTTTTCGAACACAGCTGGTCTAGCTGAAGCAGCCAGGACTTCTGTGGCACTTAACGCCTGGAAAATATCTGTATCGACAAGGGTATGAGTGTGATATTTCTTGAGTTGAGAAACAATCAGGGAAATCTAGATGCAACGTACTGTTTTTTTACAGCAGAATTAAGCGAGCAAAGTAAGGGTCTCGATTGACTCTATCCCATCAGCGAATGCAGCTCAACAATCAACGCTAACATTGACTCAATTTATTTCAAATAATTTATACATTAAAAATAGACAATTTTAGGTTTCTCAGTTATGCGCGCTATTGATTGCCGATACTTTCGGCCTTCCCTGCCGAAATGATATGTAAATTGCCATGAAGAGTGTACCTCAATATTGGCGAGGCAATAAATGTTTGTCAAATAGTTTGTACGTAGTCCTGTAAATATAAAATGTTTGTTTGTTTTTCTCTTCTCCGTTTTACCAGTGTGGAATCACAATCACACGCGTTTGTGCAAGTATTTTTTAGGTACCGGGGGCCTCTTCTCTTGAGAGACGGCGTCGCCTACTATCCTGACTACTCACACGTCCCACGTGATTTCAGTAGTGTATACATACGTAGGCTGATCTCACCCTCGAACGCCTATTTATACACCGACATCAACATCGCCGGTGGGCATCTTGCCCATGTCGTCTGTGACGTCACCAGCACTCCAACCTCCATTCTCGTACATGCTGGTTCTTTTTGACTTCCTAGGTCTGCCTTTGGCCGGCTTTCGTTGCCGCTTGATCACTACAGTCACACAAACAGCGACCACTAACGTAAGCATTACAAGTCCTATAAATACTCCGATTAGGAGTCCTACACTAACCGCGGAGCCCGAGTCATCGTCGAGCGCCTGCCCTTGGGGGGCGCTACCATTCGATGCCACCGTGGTTCCAACCCCCTGAGAGCTTCCAAATGAGTCCCCATTCCGTGATATGTACTCACTGATATCTTTGTCTGTGTATAAGGGGGAACCTGCATCTTGCTCTGTACATATGCCATCGTACCATACTGCCAAACGCGGAAAGTGTTTCGTACAGGCCGCCATCCTTAAGTCGCATTCGTTAATGTACGACCGTCCATCTGTGCCACACACAACTGCAAAGATCGTATCGTCACACTTCTCGGGACATGTTGTTGTGGTTCGCACAGTATCGCCATCAAATCGCTTGCCTATTTGTTTGAGTCTCTCAAGTTGTTCATCAATACTTCCTCCTCCGAGATAGTCTGCGCATGTTCTTTCCGCTAGTATGGTCAATTTACCACCCGATGTACACGCTGCAGCCTCCATTCTACATCTGCTCCCGTATGTTTCTAAATTGCTGGCACAAACAGGGGCATAATCTTGCATGCACATGTCGTTGCAGACCAGAGTTTCAGTACAAGGACCTTCATAGTGCATTGCGACCGACAACCCAAGCGATCGAAGTCTGTCGGCATCGCGATCTAGTAAACATTTGTTATCGTACGTGACTCCACTATCGGCACAAATAGGTTCAGATTCCTCAAACTCACATCCCGTTGAAGGTTGGACAGCTTCACGCCTTCTGTCTACTACGCACCCGTGAGCTGATTGTGCAAAACCCGTCCTGCATAGAGCGCTAACAGCAGCCACGTGGTATAGGGAAATTAGCACCAAATATTTCGACATGGCATTCTATGAACGCAGTTGCTAAATATTAAATTTGATCCTTACTTCGTGAAAGTGAATAACACGTCTAAAAGCTTTATTATTTTGTAAATACAAAGTATTTATTTACTGTGCTCCCTGCAAGGTAGTAGGCTCATTCAAATATGTAAATAGCAGCGTTCGTTTCCCACAGCAGGTGAGCAGGGACACAATAATATTTTTGATATCGATCCAAATTGTGAATGCTATATAAAATCCAATCATATGGTTGATAGAAAATATATTCGATAGCAACGACAAAATTGTACCGAACTACAAATCGGCTGTACACCGAAGCGATCGTAGGACCTAGGACGTAGGTACTTGTTTTAATGTTCTCACTGAGGGCGAGTAGATTCAAGGCATTTGTCCCTTTTTTTATATTTTAAAAGCCCACACATAATTCCGTGGACAGAGGGCTCATAGTCTAAATACAGGGCCGGTGGACAAACAGAAACCCTTTTTTTTTTTAAACGCAAAATCATCAGAAGTGGGAGCACTCTTAAGACTACGGCTGTTACGCCTAACTCTTAAGACTACGGCTGTTAAGCGTCCCTCTGATAAGCGTCCCGCTCTCGATAACCCTGCGCCATGGCTCGTCTTCTGATACACTCTGCAATGGGGCATATCCCTAGCGCTTGATCCGGTTAACTTCGCAGTCGTTGCATTCAAATCTCGCCTGTTCATGGTCGTATACATCTGGAAAGTCGTTCA